GAAGAGCGCAGCGAGCGCAGCGCGTACGGACGGGCCGCGGCTACGGCGCACAATGGGCATTCTGCACCGGCACCACGCTCTGCCACGCCCGTGTCATCGCGCGCATCGCGCGCTGGGCGGCATTTACGGCTGCCTTTGCCTAATGCAAATGGACTTTTAACGAGACGCTCAGGCTCACCCCGCTGACAGGCTGCGTGTGCGCATGTCCCCGTGCGGTCGCGGTGAGGGACGCCACGCCACGCCACGCCACCCAACACCACCGATTAGCACACGCCATGCTGCTGCAGGGAAAAATAAATATATGGGTATGCACTATGCAGTTTTAATACTTTACTTAGTTCACCAGTTTAAATGTTTAAAATTGAGGCATTTAGAAACGTTTAACTTGTTTACACATTATTACTTCGAACCTCCTTGTTAGTGGAAGGCTTCTAACCCACCTCAACTTCCTCTCAAATAACAACACCAAAGTAGCCACGCATCAGGGGATAGATGCATGATGTGTTACTCCATACCAGTACATTTTACAGTGGCTCTTCGCTATCGGTTGAAACCCATCAAAATTCTCTAAAATTCGTTGAGGTTTCAACCGCGTACCCGATGGACCATAAATTATACATCAGGAACCTGACCGGGCTCCACTCCTCCTCTCACACGCAACAAGGGACTGGGTCACGCGACGAAATTCATCATTTTCGCTGAAGGTGACAAACGTGACGGCCCGGGGCGTGGCACAGGCAGGCGTGACAGTGACGTGACGTAAATAAGCGCCGTCAGACGCCTTACAACGCCCCGCCGCCGTGTCCGCCTTCGTTTTTCAGCACAGACGAGAATAATTGAGAGTGTGTCCGTCCCTCTGGTCCGCCCGTCCTAGGCGCGCGCACGCACACAGCAGTGGAGGCTGACCAGAGCCGCTGGTCTGCTCTGCTTTTGCCATCAGCCTCTCTTGCGCGCTCCGCTCCGCTATTTCTAGCCGGGCCTAGGAACAAATATTTGGTGTAACAGCTCGGCGCGCGCGCACGCCCCGCTCGCATTCACGCACATCGCGGAGGGCGGGGCGGGGCGGGGCGCGGGGCGAGTTCTAGAGTCGCGCCATTCCTCCCCGCTACACAACGCGCCCGAGTAGGCCAGAGTGCCTTTATTTTTAGAGTCCGTAAAACCTGCAAGGGACTGGCCATTACAACAACACACGCATTTATCCGCCCAACAAAAACGTGTTTCTGTTGCCCGTCTTCCCTTGGCGCCCTACACGGTGACGGCGCGCACCTGAAACTGAAGCTGCAGGGGGCTCTTCCGAGCCGACCACCACCGTGGTGTGGTCCAACGGGCGTCGTGGGCGTGGCGCAGCGTAGGGACATGACTTTTCGGTTTACTCGACTGCCCCGCAGGAGGGGGTGTCGCTTCGTGGCGAGGAGGGCGTCAACTCCCCGCCATAAACACGAGGACATAACTTCAAGAAGTCCCTCCATCTCACTCGCGCTAGGCTAGGTCGCCAGCGGACTCTATGGTCCTTCAAAATAAAAATAAGAAAAGAAAAGAGCATAGAGCAGCCTATCAACCGTACTAAAATTGATGGCTCCCGGACAATAAAAGAAAATAGGAGGAGGAGGGGAGGGGAGAAGTGAGGAGGATGGCATGGATCAGGAATAAAAAACAACTACGTGCGGGTCCATGCATGGAGCTCCGTGATGTAACACTAAAGCAAAGCCCCCCCCCCCTCACTCACTACTGATGGATGAAGTAAGTTTCCATTTTTAACGGCGCGGTCGCGCGGCCGGCGCTGCTGGCATGAGAAGGAAGATGTGCCACCACTGCACAGGATCCCGGCGACCGCGGCGCGGGCGCTGGGACAGGACGACCTTGGCGACTTTAGTGCGCCGCGCGCGCGCACACACACACCACCAACGCCACCCTGGATGAAGATGATTCGGGCTGAGCGGAGCGCGTGGGCGTCGGCGGCTAAATGATGTCAACACCCCGCCACCGCCGCCGCCGCCGCCCCTCTCCCCGTCGAGGCCCTCACCCACCCACCGCCAGCGGCCGCCAGCACCACAAGGCGCGCGCGCATCTTCAGCGCGGGAGGCGCCCGGGCTGCGGGTCCACGCGCGCCGCCGGGGCAGGTCAAGGCTGTCGCCAGCGACCACGGCCCGGGAATAATAATTACACTTGAGGAACAGAGAATGATTCTCTGTGCTTCGAAACGCACCGGAAACCCAAGTGTGTGAATGTCCTACACTTGTAGGTGGTATGCGGAAAGACATTCCTACCCACGCAGGCGCAAGTGTGTGAACTTCAAAGGAAAACTCACATCTGTGCCCACATCTTAAGGGTACGAATGGGCATTTAAACACCTACAAGTGTGGGAGATTCGCACACTTCCAGTGCGGTTTCTGCCCACGAACAGGGAATGACGGACGGCTGATTGCTGGGCCAAAAAGGTGAAAAGGTGAAAAATTG